GGCGGGGGGCGGCCAGAGCGCCGGGGGGAGGGCGGCGAGCCCGGCTGTGGCCCCGCGCTCCCCGGCGGCCGGAGCGCCGCGCCGCCCCCCTCCAGGTGCCGCCCCAAGCACCAGCTTGGGTGCCTGGTGCCTGGAGCCGGCCCTGAGTGTGTGTGTGTGTGTTGTGCTGAGCATACACTTACCATAGTTGCAGATATGCAAGGCTTGCTTCTTGCTCGCCTTAGCAAATTGAGCTATGGAAACTTGTGCTGGTTGAGGCAGCCTTGATGCAGTTAATATTTGCTTGGAGGGACTGGTGCATGCATGAAGTCTATGTGAACTTGTGGGGCCCTAGTACCTTAGAAGGCTACACCTGGGGCAGTGGGGGAAGGATACCACCTTTGGTTTACAGAAAGTAATACAATCTAACTGCTGTTTGAGTACTGCATGTCCTGGCCCACCCCGAGAGAATAGGGGCCACAGGCCACCAGTAGAATACAACCAGTTTTATTGTTTTTTGTTACAATGTTCCTTCATGAGGGTTTTGGAACCTGGTCATCCAGCCTTTTCTCTTCCAAAGCATGATCACAGCAGTGAGGATGGAGACCACAACCACCAGCAAGAGCCCAGCCAGGAGCACAGGGGACAAGTCCAGTCTAGAGACAGGGTCTGTGGGAAAAGGAGATTATGGCTTAGATAGATAGCCAGAAGGAGATGAAGGATACCTAGATTCATCTACCCCACCAGGGATGGGATAAGACTGACTCCATCCCTACTCAGGTTTCAGAGTAGCAGCCGTGTTAGTCTGTATCCGCAAAAAGAACAGGAGTACTTGTGGCACCTTAGAGACTAACAAATTTATTAGAGCATAAGCTTTCGTGGGCTACAACCCACTTCTTCGGCTGCATACTCACTAATTCTAAACTGGAAGCAGGCAGCTGGTTCTTTGCATTACTCCCTGCCCCTTAGGGGACACTGCTATCCAGCAACTTAAATCCCAGCTACATGCTTTTGAATAGGACATCCTCACTTACTCTTGTCTCAGTCCTGTGTTCCCCACTCCCCAAACAGAGGCATGAGTAAGAGCCAGGCCAGATGGGAGTCCATGCATCCTCTGCTGCTAGCAAGCTGCTGTTACCAGCTCCCTCCTACAAGGCAGGTCATTGATTCAGTCTCTACCTCACCTCTTTACACATTGGCAGGAGACAGTGCCTCCTAATGAGACAGGACTGAAGTTGCCATGTGCCTGGCTGTGGTGTCTGACACCACTGAGTGGGGTGTGTGAGATCTGAGAGGATAGTTACCTTCATTCCCATAGACTGGCTCTTTGAATGCCTCTGGGCTGTTCTGGAAAGTCACAGGCCCACGAGAGCTCACCACATTGAGAGGCTCTGTCTCATTTTGGATAGTCAGGAACCGACGGCCTCCTGGGGGGGAGAGGGAGGAGAAGAAGAGAGTAGAGAGAATTAGAGAATCTGGAGGCTCTTCGGGGCTGCCAGTAGGATGCAGTCAGCAAGCTGAAGCAGAGCTCACTCAGAACCAGCTGCTAGCCTGACAAGGGGGTGATCTCTGCTCACACCTCCAGGCCTCAGGAATCAGGACTGTCCTGGAGGACAAGGAGTGTTTATTGGTTCCTACACAGCTACAGGAGACAGTCAGGCCATTGTTACATCATGGCTGCCACAAGGATGGGCAGGGGATCTGACCTAGTGGTCTGTGTCAGATGCATTGGCATGAAGTAACTCAGTACAGCTACGTGATGCTCTTAGAGGCTGTGGAGTACCTTACTCATGCAGTTGATCCACTGATCTGAGCTGGAGTTCACACTCCTTACCAACTGTTTCTATGCTGCAGAACATAGCTAATTGGACAGTTGAGAGCTCTGGCTGGGCTGCAGCCAGTGTGGGTCTGGAACCAGCAGCAGCATGCCACACCCATGCCTAGAACAGAGAGGCCAGACTTACTTGCTGTTACCCCTGATGGGCATATGGTCCCGCAGGACTCCAGCTGGGATGGTGAACAGGCAGCAGCACTACAGAAGATGTACACCTAAACCAGACATGGCAGGAACCCAAGTTACATAATGCACTGGCCAGTCATGCAAGTCAGCAAGTGCACAGCCTCAAACATGCTTCTCCAAAAAGGACTGGCCCTTTTAACCTTTGAGGTCAGATTAGTTACTGTAATACTAGGCTTGCATCTTCATTGGGGAAGTCTAGTCATGGTGTTCAGCAGAGGGCAATGCACCCTGGTACATCACCAGCCAAGGAGGTGCCAGTGTGTACAAGTCACTGGAGGATTTCCTCAGCTAATTTCTTGAGCAGGCAAAACCTATTAGTTTGCTATTCTTGGATTGAGAACTGGGGTGGGATTTGTCCACCCAAAGGAGGCCCTACTCCAGCAGCCAAAGCTTCATGCTATTTTCTAATTGGTGGAAGGCAAAGATGCAGGTTATATGCTAGAGCTGCTTCCACCCAAGGTCAGGCTTGTACCCAGGTCAGTAGTGACCAGAACCATGCAGTTCAGTGGTCATAGGGTGCAAGACCAGGTTCTTATGATAGAGGAGCACTGCTCCTGAAGAGAAGTGGGGCTGCAGAACATGTGAGCCAACTGGACCCACTCACCTACCACAATGTGACAAAGCTACCGGGATACAGAATAACTCCTCACAGGGGCTGCAGCTTGCAAAACCCTCCAAAATGGAGCTTTTCCAGTTGGATGGGCAAAGTTCCTCTTTAAGAGGAAGAGGCTGCTCAGGGGTCACTCCCCTGGCTGTAGTAGGAATGGCTACCAAGGATAGGCATTCAGCCCCCTCCCCCCCACCCTTACCAGTCCCTCGAGCACCATCTGGGAAGTAGAGTCCACAAAGGCAAAGGTGGAGAGGACAAAGCGCTGGTGATGAGTTGGGAAGGGCAGCTCAGATGAGGCAGGGCCCATGGGCACAAGCTGGGTTCTGTAGTTGTCTCCTAGGAATGGGCACCTAGGAATAAGGAGGGGTAGATTTAAGCAGGTTCCCAGGATTACCACTGCTTGAGAGACAGTAATCCCTTTGCCCCCAGCCACTCACCCGTCCACCAGGATGGGCCACTGTGGCTGCTGCACGGGGTTAGCACTTGGGGTGGCCCAGCACTGGTGCAGAACCAGAACCAGGGATGGGTCTGTTCTTTGCAGGATGCGAACCTCCACATAGACTGGGTCCCGGAGCACCTTCACCACAGGATAGTCTCTCTCCGTGAGATAGGATGTGTAGCTCAGGTCTGTGGGGGAGAGGGCAGGAGGAGAGCAAAGCTGAGATGCCTGTGGTCCTTCAGGGAATGGGTTTGCTGCCCTGGAGTGAGGCGTCACCTACCTGTGGCGATGCGCAGCTCAAACCGGAGGGGTCCTGCCTGGGTGACTGGTGCAGGTATAGGGGGCAAGAAGATCTTGACCTGGACTGGCAGGAAGTCACTGGCATTGTAGATGCAGCGAGCATGGAGGCTGCACAGGAGAGAGTAGAGGGTGGAGATTGGGCTGAGGTTTGTTAGCCAAGCTAAGGTGTTTTAGAGTCACATTTTGTGCATCTTCACCCTCCCCTGTTGCTATTTGTACCCATTAGTTTAAATGCCCACCACTGCTCAACATGGCAAGATCCAAGTGCCACTCACTGAGTGTATAAGATCCTACACAATTGCTCATTCCCAAGCTAATCTCAGGTTTTTGGCCTTACTGCCTCAAGCTGTGAGCTAGTCAGACTGAACCTTGTTGGCGGATTTAAGTCAGCACTTGAATGGAAGAGATCCAAGGGAAGTCTCCAATGAACAGTTGACAATTCAGTCATTGACACTTGTTCTTTTGAGTCAGCACCAAGTTAGTGCCCTAGTATAGGGAGAGGTGGGCAGTCATTACTTAAGAGATTCAGAAAGAGGCTCTAGTAACTTGCCATTAATTGCATGGTGGTTTGCTACAGTAGAAGCCATCCCCCTAGTATCCCAGCCACATTTCAGTCTTGTTTTATTCTTCCTTGTCATTGGACTGGGACATGCATCAAAAGTGTCAGTTTTCCACAGGATATTTTAGAAGGATTTTAATCAAAGTTAATCTTTGATGACAAATTCCAACAGACTAGAGTCCAGAATTTTGATTTCTGTTTTTCCCAGAAAGTCAGCTTTCCCTCCTACTGAAGTGTAGAGTTGTCAAGCTCTAGTATTTGTTAGCAGTCCTGAACTGCAAGGTAGTCTTGCTTGGTGGTACTGGAAAGTCAGCCGTCTACCATAGAGATGGCAGAATTAAGACTGACTCATAGCATTTTGAGATTCTTCTGTCCTGAAAAAACTAGAAACTAAGGGAGTTGACAGGTTATCTGTTAGATTCCTCAGAGAGGATTTGTCTCACACTGAAAGACTCTTGTCTATGCAGGACAGAAGTTGACCAACTTACATGAAGGTGCTGTCCCGAGTGATGGAGCCCTGTGGCCCAGTCTGTATGTCAATGCCAGAGATCAGCTGATTCTCATAGATCAATTTGTCCCCAATCACCTGGAGGGGAATGGGAAACAGGAGGTGTTTAGTCCCTTCTTGAGAAGCAGAAGAGTCTGTGCTACGTCAGGGGATGTATTGTCACCTGTACTGTGGTGCCACATTGTGTGACGGGGAAGCGGAAGAGCACAAAAGCTTCTGTCATCCTGATGGGATTGCACCCTGCCTGGGCATAGGCTAGCCGTACATTGTCCAGGATGATGGGGTGGTCAGACATGTCCCTGGAGACCACCAGAATAAAGTGACCATCCATGAGGCACTGAAGAGTGACTGCAACACAAAGGAGTAGGGTTAAGCACAGCAATTGCAGCCTAATGATGCTGAACATGTGGGGGCAGGAACCCCAACCCTTTATTACAAGCCAGAGTTAGGTTTGGGCACAGACATGCTGAGGGAAGAGGCCAATATTCACTGTGTCTCAGAACACAGGCTAGTATGCCCCCCCACTCCGCCCATTTCTCCTTCAGAAAGAGAGAAGGCTATGGAAAGGAGGGCTTGGGCCATGGTATTCCCTCAATGGAACCCCCTGGAGATCAGATGGATTCTTTCTACTTACCTTGCAGTGGTAGAGCACACTCTGCGTAGGCCCTTCATAGACTGATTGAGGTTTCTCAGGTGTTGAGAGTTCAGGCTTGCATTCTTGAGCCATTTCCTCTCCACCTTTATGGTTGGGGCAATGGGAATCATTGTGGAGAGCTCCCATGCTTTAAGTGGGAAGGACCACAAACCTGGGTGTGAACATCTATGGATGTACTCCGTTTACATCAACTCTGGGCCCTGAATATGTGATCTGGGGACAATTTCCATCCCCTGCTTCTTCACCCTGCCCAGTGGAGATGGAACAAGACAGCAGCAGTTGCTGGCTCGGGGCTTAGCTCCTCCTCCAACTGAGTGTTAACATGTGAACATGCCCTGAGCTCTATGGGACAGAACTCCTTCAGCTGGTCCCTTACCTGTGTTTCCATAGTAGCAAGGAATAGTTGGGTCAGTCCCATCATAGCAGCAGCCAGCCTGGAAGCAGGCAGCTTGGTCAAGGGGATTCGCACAGGGGATCTTCCCAGCCACCACTTGGCACTGCTCTGGTGTCAGGCGGGCACCTGGAAGATTAGGTTACAGACCACTGAGCACAGAAGATGATTGGAGCACAGTACATGGCCACTTTGCTACCCCATTGCACTTTTGGGTACCACTGATGGTGTGGAGAGGTCATCTGGATCCCTCTGGCCTAGTTAGGACATGCCTCAGGATTAGGGCAAAGAAAGTCCAGGGCCCCAGGAGACAGTGGGGTGGTAGCGATAATGGTGAAGCTTGCTCTAGTAGCCTTCATTTGTTCGGTCTTCCCCCACAACTACAGTCTTTAAGGACCCACAAGAAAATGATGGATAGACTAGCCCACCCCCTTATTATTAGGCCTCATTGGTAAACAAGTGTTCACTTGTTTCTGGTTCCACATCTGTTTTTACTGAGTATGGTTTCAACTTGGTCCTTGAGTTATACCAGTAGGCCTTTTCATTTAGGCTAATTCAGTCTGTCTCCTTTATACCTCCCCTGCATCCCTGCCCATCATCACCACTTCGTGACATTTTTATGAACTTTCACATTTTACAGTGAATCTCACAATTAGAGTAAATGTGCAGATCCAATCACCACAACAGATCCCACCTACACAGGTGTTACACAATACCCATGGACCAGACACCACACGCTCAGATCCACACTCCCAAAGCACATTAGTACAAGAAAGGTCATAGTTCTGTTTTTATCATCCAGCCCCAGTTGCTGACACAAGCCATGATAGTTCTCGGTAGAGGCCTCAGAGTCAGGATGGGCTAAGTTCTGAATTTGAAGGTGTTCTGCAGTGTCCTGGGCAAGGGTGAAGAGTAGGGCTACCATATGTCCGGGTTTCCCCGGACATGTCCAGCTTTTCGCTCTTTAAATAGCCATCTGGGGGGATTTCTAAAAATCTAAAAATGTCCAGGATTTCCCCCCAGTCGGCTATTTATCGACCGAAAAGTGGCTGACAGGGCGGCCGAGCGCTGCTCGCATTGGGGCCTCGGCAGCCAAAGCCCTTTCCCGGCTCCCCCCATCCCCTGCAGCCTTAGCACGCCACCCAGAAACGCTGGGGGGCGGGGCTGTGTGGCTGTGAGGGAACGCGGCGGCCACAGCCCCTCCCCCGCTTCACCCCTCCTCCACAGCCTCAGCACACCGCTTGGGCTGGGCGCTCAGCCAGACACCTGCTCTAAGCCGAGTGGCACGGTAGGGGGCCGGGGAGTTGGAGAAGGGGGGCAGTCGGGACAGGGAGCGGGGGGGGGGGGGGGGGGG